ACACTGAAACAAATTCTTTGACAATTTAAATATGTTGTGAAAAATGAAAAAAATTAACTCTATTTCATAAAAAAAATATTAATTACAAAAATAGGGATAAGGGTCTGAAAAATACCCCTTTGGTCGAATTTGCTGTTGCGATACTAAACTTTCATGAGGACCTATTACCTCCCTAGACTATTTAATACTATATTTTAAACATATATTATTGCCCACGTGGACATAAAAAATAATGCAAAATTATAAATAGTAATGTGTCCACGTGGGAACATATATACCTTTAAAATACACTAATAAATAGTTTAGGGGGTAAAAAATGCGGTATTAAATAGTCTAGGGAGATAATAGGTCCTCATGAAAGTTTAGTATCGCAAACAACAAATCTGACCAAAGTTGGGGTATTTTTCAGACCCTTATCCCAAAAAAAATATCAATTTAAGTTTTAAAGTTAATTAACTATCTCTACTAATTTATTATAAAAATGTCCAATTAAAATGGAACACGTGTCCATATTAATCAGATTTTAATAACTTTTTTTCGTATCTCACATTCCTCTAAGAGAGTGAACACACTTCTATGTGCCACCTCAGCACAAAAGGGTGTGTCATTACACTTAAAAATAATTTTGGGGGGTAATAGCTCTCATGTATAGTTAAAGTGTGTCGTTGGAATTTCGTGTATAGTTGAGGGGGGTACTTGTGCATTTTTCGGGGTAAAGTGTCTTATTAAAGTCATGTCATGCATTTTTAAAGTGAGAAGATTTCACTTGATCTTGTTATTCAAAATTCAATATGTGTTCATCTAGTGGATGATTTAAAAATTAGCTAAATATAATGGATGCTAATGGTGCTAAGTGATTAAGTAATTTCTTACCAAGTATTTATGTAAATTTTAAGTCAATGAATCTCCATTTTGTGATTACATTGATTTGAGAGAAAGAGTAATATAACATCTTTTAAGAGATGGAATTATATCCATCAATTGAGTGAAGTTCGAAGTGAATTTGGTCAATTCTTTGACTAAAGATTTGGGAAAATATTGTTAAGTTGTATATCGAACATGATGGTAACCCAACTTATGTGATTGAAAATCTCATGAATAGGTTCATATGCATAATAACAAGTCATTATTTGATCTTCTGCACTATAAGCTTCTGTCCTGTCTGTCTGTGATCTATTATGATGTGCATTTAGTTAAAATGTGTAAGGAAAGAGAGGTTGAGTTGTAAACTCTTAATCTATTACCATATCCTTTATAGGTGGTGTATTGCTCTACTATTTACACTTGATGGATGGACCTATATATATGGGTGTGAATTGTGTCGCTTCTACGAACAGACACATTTCTAAAGCACTCATGACTACCAAGAAACGTACACGACTTCTTCATTTAAAACTGCGATAACAACAAAAATTATGCAAGTATAATGTGATAGAATAAGACTCTAAGCTTGCAAAAAAAGTTTTGGTCCCTGGAAGTTCTACACTTCACCATTTGTTCGGTTAGTTTAATCTTATTTTTTCTAGGTCTGATTCATAAGCTACAAGACTAGACTCGACACATTATTCATCTTTTGGAAACTCAACAATACTTATATTTTATATATAATATTGGGAGAAGGCACAAGTACCCCCCCCCCCTAGACTATGACCGAAATATCAAAGACACACCTTAACTAAACTAATGTCCTATTACCCCCGAACTCATTTTATATATAATATTGTACACCTTTTGGCTTATGTGGCACACCCCGTGACTCCATGCAGTTGAGGCGCGTGGGAGATATTTGGATGTCACATAAGCCAAAAAGGTATACAAAATTACAAAAAAAATAAGTTGGAGGGAGGGGGGGGGGNAAAAAAAAAAGGGGGGGGGGGGGGGGGGGGGGGGTGTAATAGGATCTTAGTTTAGTTAATGTGTGTGTCTCTGGAATTTGAGTCATAGTCTAGGGTGGTACTTCTACCTTTTCCCTATAATATTCATTAATTTTCGTTTTAAGATATATGGGAAATATTGATAAAATATCTTTATTATATTAAAAAGTATAAGACTAATCTTTGAGATTCTTTATATCTATTATTAGTGTTGATAAAAAGAATTAATTATATATTATTGTCTCATATTATATAGCCTTAATGGTATTCTATTAAAAAATGAAATACGGTTATTTTGGTTTAATATGATAGTGAATTAATTGTCTTTATTGCATTCATCAAATAGATTGTAAGCAGATTTGAAAGAATATTTGATAATTGGGTTAATAGCCTTTATTTTAATTACTAATCATTGAGGGTGTGTTTGGTACGAAGGAAAATGTTTTCCTGGAAAACAAGTTGATTTTTGACTTATTTTCTCATGTTTGGTTGGTGAATAGAAAATATTTTCCGGAAAAGATTTTTAGTGTTTGATTTTTGAATGATTTTTTCTTTTGAGAAATATCTTTTATTTTTACTAGGGTAGAAAATAATTTTTGAAATTGAAAAATATTTTTTCAAAACAAACTTAAATTTTTTTGGGGGTGGGGTGGAGGTGGATGGTAGGGGGTGGGTTGAGAATAGGGGTGAAAAATTAAAATTTTGAAGTTAAAAATATTTTTTAAAAACAAACTTAAATTTTTTCCTTCATACCAAACACACCCTGAATGTCATTTTGTGCAAGAATTGGAGCTCTCAATTTGTGATCTCTATGGGCGAATGTTGATAAAATATCGTTATTATATTAAAAAGTATAAGAAGAATCTTTGGGATTCTATTACATCTTCTGTTGGAAAGATTTTTGATGTTGCATACTTGATAATTGGTGAGATTTCGTAATCAGCCAGGCAACGAACCTTTAATAAAGAAATATATGAATTCATTATTTCAATTAAAGCACTATATGTATTGTGATTCGTTCCTAATGTGAAATATTTTGAATATAAATTTATGAAAAGTGTGTATTGTTTCCCCCTCATGACAAGCAAATCACAACTTACGGTGAGAAAAGAGTAAGTCATAGAATATCAGACTCGTTTATAATGATCACTAAAAAGCTAGGATTCCTAAGTGGTTTAACCAAGTATATGCGAAAATCTTTGTCAACAGTGAAGTAATCATAAGTTTTTCTTTTAAGAAGAGAAGTAAACAAGAGAAACAAAGCTTGAGCATTTATGAGAGGGAGATCCTAGCAAACATGAGGTGTTGTCGACATAGTGGAATAATCAAATTTATTTTATTTTGGAGTGAACTTCGAATTATGATTCTAATGGTAGTTTACTAATTTTAACGAGCTTCATATAAATTAGGGTAATATTGTTAAATTGTGTTATATAAAGAACTATTGAAGGGGGTTTTCATTGTAGCACACTGAAAACATCTTTCAATTTGGGCTTCAGGTATGATTTTGTCTCTGCCTTTATTAGTGATTTTAGTCTTGTCGATATGAGAATATTATGATGAACCAATGATCAGCTAATTGAATAGGATAATCATTAATAACATATAAATGAAATATGATAGTTGATTTCAAAATTTGTCAACAGTGAAGTAATCATAAGTTTTCTTTAAGAAGAGAAGTAAACAAGAGAAACAAAGCTTGAGCATTTATGAGAGGGAGATCCTAGCAAACATGAGGTGTTGTCGACATAGTGGAATAATCAAATTTATTTTATTTTGGAGTGAACTTCGAATTATGATTCTAATGGTAGTTTACTAATTTTAACGAGCTTCATATAAATTAGGGTAATATTGTTAAATTGTGTTATATAAAGAACTACTCAAGGGGGTTTTCATTGTAGCACACTGAAAACATCTTTCAATTTGAGCTTCAGGTATGATTTTGTCTCTGCCTTTATTAGTGATTTTAGTCTTGTCGATATGAGAATATTATGATGAACCAATGATCAGCTAATTGAATAGGATAATCATTAATAACATATAAATGAAATATGATAGTTGATTTCAAAATTTGTTGCTTAATTGAGCACTACAAAAAACCCCTGAATTGCCAACAAAATTATCGATTGGTAAATTGATTAAATTGGTTAACAAATGAATTTTCCAACTGAATACCAACTAAGGTTTATCCATTGTTAAAAAGCTTGTCACTAATTTTTACCAACCCATTTCAGTTAGTTGGTAAAAATACAGACTAAAATTCAGTTGGTAAACACATAAACAACTTGTTGGCAATTGTTGAAATGTAGCCTTCGAATTTTCGTTGGTAAATTCACCAACCAATTTTCGGTTGGAATATTGTAAGTTTACTAACGAAGAGCAAAAGAGTTAGTAAATTTGGTCCTTCATCATTCAATTTTGTTAGTGATATGTTGACAAATATACTAAAATAAAATAAAATGTTGTTACTATTCCGTTAGCAATTATATAACAGATAACAACTTGGTTGGTAAGTTCGATAGTAAATTCACCAAAATGCATTGGTAATCAATTAGCAATTTCAGTTAAGAAAACAAATGTGTTGGTATTTCATTAGTAAATTACTAACGAATTTTAAATTTGTAAGTAAGTATGACTATCTACTTTTGTAACTTACGTTACTAATTGGTTAGTATTTTAGAAACACAAAAAGTTCAATACTAATTCGTTAGGAAGCTTACTAACTGATTGTTAATTTGTTGGTAATGTATATCATTTATGTTCAATATTTGGTCTGTTATTGATTTGTAATGTTTATTGCCATATTATTGACTAAATGCTAATTCGATAGTAAAGTTTCACTTTATATATTTATATTAATCAATAGCTTTTATGAATCTTAAAAAGTCTGGAAACATACAGTGATTTTTTGATAAATTATAACTTGAATAAACAATGCAAAACCAAAGAAGAGGAGTTCAAAATAAATACAGAAACAGGCAATGCAAAACCTAAGATGAAGAGTTCAAAATAAATCCAAATAAGGAAAAAAACAATGCAAAATATAAGATGAAGAGTTCAAAATAAATCCAAATACGGAACAAACAATGCAAAATCTACTTAGGATAGTTTGAAAATTTAAATGACTCATATCATTATTTGATAATGGGTCATATCTAAGCTAAGGTGGTGTACCAGTTGGAGGTGTACCAGTGGGCAGTGGGCAGTGTACTGGGGTGGTTTAGGCAGCCCAGCTATGAGGATGGGCAAACGTTCATGGAGAATCTTATCAACTTGCTCTTGCATTTCTAGTTGCATTTCATTTTTCATTTCTTCACGCAATTCATGTCGTATCTCTTCTCTCATCTCTTGCTTCATCTCCTCCTTTATTTCTTGAACATATTCCTTCACTCGAGCATCAAAACTACAATCTTGAGGTTGAGTAGTTGAAGCAGACGATGAACCAATGTTCTGATAGAATACTGCTTGAGAACCAAGACCATATATACACGCCTTCTTAACCCCACCCACTTCATCCATGTAAATCTTTGAAAACTCTACTGTCGGAGACTCACCAGATTCATCTTCAAGTTGAGATGCAGATGTGATCTTAGACATTACAGCATCCTGAAAAACAAAATATATGATATTATGTTAAGAAAAAATGAATAGCGATTATAAACATACAAGACAATTGATATCAGTCGACAATCTTTGTCCCTGACAATACCTCCTCCACCACACTTATCATTTCTACAATTGCAATTAGCATTTATTTTGACACGCCTACCTGTAGTTCAAATTCAGTGTACAAAATTAGTCTTCTCGACACTAATCTATCTTTCCAAATTACAAATTATCTCCTCCCAATTGTGTCCCAAGTTGATCTTTTAGAACTTGCATTTTCTACTTCATTTAGAGTAAAAGAAATGTTGGTTAACTTCTTGACATACATCTTCTCAGTACCATACGTTATCCCACATCTTACCCTCCAAATTTTCCAAGTAGTAATGATAGGAATAATTTAGAGATCAAAGCAATCAAAGAATCATGGCTCCTAATATTTAATCAGTTAACTAAAATTTGTATGTAGGGAAGTTTACCAATGAATACCAAACACGCTACGTACGATTTTCTATAGTTTCTGGACAAGCACACAACTATAGAAAAAATGTTCCATTCCATAGCAGGTGAGGAGAAACAACAACATCCAGAAGATTGGTTAATCCCCATCTTGATAATCCTATTATTTGTGGGTAATCTGTCCCTCAAAGCTCTCCAAACAATAACACATTTTAAAAGGCACCCTTTTTCCAGGTCATGGAGTTCAATCCGTATTTGATAAAATTCTCTCTTAAGAAGCTACCAGGTTGAGGCTCAAACCACTGAAAAAGAACCTTTCACATCAATGAACCAAACAGGAATATCAGGCTTAGTAGAATTCAACGATATTATAATAAATTAGGCGAGTTGGTTAAACAAAAGGGTATTTGAGACGGTAAAGTGTTGGGTTTTATTTGCCCTGAATTTCTTACCATAATTAGGTTTTTATTTTTAGGAAAAGGTTTTGGATCGGCTAGTCCTTTTCTTGTAGGAAAAGGTTTAGGACTCTATAAATAGAGGCTTGTTCCTTCTAACTTAATCAGCATTCACAATATAATCTTAAGGGCTTTGAGAGTTTAGGTTAGGGGGAGAATTTGTGGGTCACAAGCTTGATACGTTATCACTTGTGTGAACCTCCCATGTATTCCGAGTGAATTGGTTGAAGTTGTTTCTCTCTATATTTTGTACTCTCATGTTTATATAAGGGATTTATCATCTCCTTTGTGGACGTAGGTCAATTGACTGAACCACGTTAAATATTTGTGTCTTTCGGTATATTTCTCGTTTGTCTTCTTACTCGTGGTCTTTCAAGGTTTTCTTTACTAGCTTCTGCATTACACCTGCTTATTTTGGTCATAACAAGTGGTATCAGAGCCAGATTCAGTGGTTCGATAATCGATGATTGAACCAGGTTAGAAAGATGGTGTTCATCTTGGCGGGCATAGTTCTAGCCGCAACCTTTTTAACAGTAATGAAGATTTTTGTTGGAGAAATTGTTTCAGAGAGATTCTCTGTGTTGATACATAGATTTGATGAAGGAGATTATGGAGAGGAGAAGCAGGCTGTTGAAGATTATGTGAAGAAGGTGGACAAATTTATTTTGTCAGAAATTCAAGTCAAGGGGGAGATTTGTTGGGTTTTATTTACCCTGAATTTCTTACCATAAATAGGTTTTCCTTTTTAGGAAAAAGGTTTTTGGATTGGCTAGTCCTTTTCTTGTAAGAAAATGTTTAGGACTCTATAAATAGAGGCTTGTTCCTTCTAACTGAATCAGCATTCACAATGTAGTCTTAAGGGCTTTGAGAGTTTAGGTTAGGGGGAGAATTTGTGGGTCACAAGCTTGATACGTTATCACTTGTGTGAACCTCCCATGTATTCCGAGTGAATTGGCTGAACTTGTTTCTCTCTATATTTTGTACTCTCATGTTTATATAGTGGATTGCCCATCTCCTTTGTGGACGTAGGTCGATTGACCGAACCACATTAAATCTTTGTGTCTTTTGGTATATTTCTCGTTTGTCTTCTTACTCGTGGTCTTTCGAGGTTTGCTTTACTAGCTTCCGCATTACACCTGCTTATTTCGGTCATAACATAAAGACCATACACTAAAAGTAATTGAAGATAGAGCTAGTTGCAGCTACATGGGGACCTATTGTTTATGATAAAATAAAGCTAGTGACTGCGACTTGAAAGGTTAGGAATGGGCAATTTTTAAAAAGAAATTGTAAATACGAAAGGAAGTGTGCATTGCATTTGTCTTGAGTATATTTTTATGGTTCACAGTAACATACTTCTCTGCATTAATTTGTAATAACAAAGATCCCCTCTAATACTTATAGAGATGCAACATAAGGTCAGATGAATCTGCTAAGGAAAAGAAGGAGGATAACAAGGAATATCACATATGAATGGCAATCCAATCGACATATACATGAATATACTCAACAGGAACAATAAATTTTACAGAAGTCACATGCAACCTTCTCGAGTACACTCCAAGTCCCACAACAAAGTCCAAGAAAAGAGAAGAGTTCAATGCCTACTAGTAGAATTGGAAGCCCACCCCTGAATTCGGTAAACTTCCCTATTCTTTGTAAACCTACACCTACTAAGAATAGCTTTGAAAAGTTGGACAGTGGAATTGAGGAGTCTCATAACATACTCCCACTCCCTGATAGAGGTGGGTTCCAAAGTGCATCTCTATGAAATGGTTATGTTGGAATACAAAAGGTGCCAATAAAATGTATAAGCAGAAAGCGTTAAAGCACTATATCTATAGTAATCATATTAACCTAGTACGCTTAGTAGAGATTCGAGGGAAAATTCATAAAAGTAATAGGATCTTCAATAACTTGACTTCAAATAAGGGTAGCCTGCATAATTATCAGAAGGCAACAAATGAGCGGGTATACATCTTATGGAACCCCCAATGGTACGACGTTATCTTGATTGAAAAGGAGGCGCAATTCATTCATTGCTTAGTTAAAGGAAGAATTGATGGATCTGAAGTCGTGGTCACCATAATCGATGGTTATAATAGCTTGGAACAAAGAAAGTCAATGCGGGTGAATCTACAGTAAATTGGCCAATTTATGAATAAACCTTGGTTGCTATGGGTTGATTTCAATGTTGTACTCTCACCAAATGACACACTAATGGGGATCACATGACTCAGGGTGAAACACAAGATTTCTCAGACTGTATACAACAATTATCTCTCAGCGAACTACCATGAAAAGGAGAAATTTTCACATGGAAAACAAACTATCAGAGGCAAATAGAATATGGAGTATGTTGGACAGGACTCTTGGTAATTTTGACTGGATGATTATCTAAGGACATGTGTGAATGGAGTAGGACTTGCCAATGATTTTTGATCACTCTCCCATGATTCTTAAGTTTCATGCAGCACCTTAGATGAAAAAAAATTCCTTTCTGATTTTTCAATGTCCTAGCTGACCATGAAAAATTCTTACCTATGGTTAGTGAAGTACAGAGACAACAAAAAAATCACAGGAGGATGAAAAATGTATGGTTTAAGCTGAGGGCACTAAAGCCACAACTCAAAAGGTTGCATAGTAGAGAATTTCAGAATATAAGCCAACAAATTGATAGTGCCAGGGGAGGATTGAAGATAGTTCAAGAACACTTGAGTATGCAGTATAGTAATGGGCTAATAATTGAAGAAAATGCCCTCTTATTGAATTTGGAGAAGTGGTTTTTGATAGAGGAGAGCATCTTGTAGCAAAAGTCTAGGGCGAGGTGGATTAAGCTTGGAGATTCCAACACAAAGCATTTCTCTGCAGTGATGAAGCTAAGTGCTCAGAGGAAACAAATATCTGAAATTATGTCTTTATCAGGAACCAAGCGTACCACTCTTGAGGATGCACAAACTGAAATTGTTACTTTTACAAGAGTCTTATGGGTTCTGCAACTCTTAGCTACAAGAAGTAGACAAATCGATTATGAGAAGGGGACCTACACTTACTCTAGAAAAACAAACTACTCTATGTGCTGAAGTTACCGACCAAGAGATTATAGATAGTCTCGGTTGCATTGATAAAGTAGGACCAGTAATCCACAAGGATGTTTTGTTAGCTGTTAAAGAGTTCTTTCACACTAGAAAGTTATACAGAGCCATCAACTGCACTACTACGATATTAACTTCCCTCATTGTTAATCTCTAATATTATAACCATGTGTTTAATGTTTGGGATAAACATGATGGATGAAGATTAAGCAAATCATCAACAAAAATTAAGAAAGATAATCAGTAATGTTTGGCATTACTTACATATGTTCTCTTAGACTTCAGATCCACAAACTCATCATTTCCTTTGGTATGTGTCTTCTTCAAAAGTTCATGCGGATAAGGTGGTCGTCCAAGAACATTCGCCTAAAATTGAAATCACATCTATTAAAGTTATTACATAAGGAATAACTCTAAAATAACTATAACTTGACAAAATGAAAATAATTGTACCAGTTGTCTTGCATGCTCTCGGTGAATCCGGGAGCCTCCAGTATGGCGCGAGGGACCAGATCCTTCACCACATTTCTCACTTGGTCAATTTTTGGAACATTGTGCAGATTTAGCCTTAAAATCCTCAGTATCATAGTGAGGCTTCCAGCTCTCCCAAATAGATTTTGGGATACTTTTTCGTTTCTCCTCAGAGGATCTTGCTTCACATAACATACCCCTGTATTGTATTGAACATTTTTTCATGAAATGATCCTTTATGGAACCTTCAATTGTAATATTCCAATGGAATCGCTTCTATTTAAGAATATAGAGAAAAATATCACATATATTGATATAACAGAAATTCTAAATGAATATAATACATTAATAAAATGATAGAAAAATGGAATTTATGGGTATAATGAGTACATGAATATTATATTAGAAGGAGACACAATCAGGTATCAAAAGATGTACCAAAAAAAGTATCATGGGTGTTGAAAAAGGCTTGGAAAGGAAGGAAGTATATTGAAGAAGCTCGAATGTACATGGCTGAACTAGGAAGTAAGGCAAAGTTCTCTGTTAGGAAATTATATATGAAGCTTAAGAGGAAATTATCAAAAGTCTCATGCAGGAGGTTAAGTTGCAATATCAGTGGTCCACCTAAATGGACCTTCATTTTGTACTTGGCTATATTGGGATGATTACACACTATAAATAGATTTCTTGGATAGGGCATTGTTGATCATATGAGTTGTCCAATGTCCGGAGATGCAAATGAAACTATAGAGCACTTGTTTTTTCAATGAAGTCCTCCCACAACGTATGGACTATGGGAAGGAGGGATGAAGTAGAATGGGTGAGTAACTTAATGAAAGGAAAGAGTCCCGAAGCAGATATATATAGAACTGTCTTGGCTGGTAGTGTATATCATATTTGAATGGAAAGGAATCAACGTGTTTTCAAAGGTACACAAAGACGACCTGAAGTTTAGTTAGGCAAGTTATCCAAGAGGTGTTTCAAAAGAGTAATAACAATAGGAAATTGACTGCATTGTTAGAAATTATGAATTTGTATCCCTAAATATTTTCTCTTTTTCTAGATGTAGCAGATGAAGCAACCTAAGTTTATCTTTTAGCTAGTTGTAGTGGTTCTATTTCATCAGCTATGTTTTTATTTTGTCCTTGTTTGAGCTGTACGGTTTTACTTTTGTAACAAAATCAATAGTTACAAAAAAAAATAAAAAATAGTATGGTTTACCTTAAACTCCTCCCAGTAGAAGTCCTTAATCTCTGGTGTAACTGACTTCCAATCATGTCCTTCAGGATCCAATTTTCCTTAAAGATATTTGTGATCGCCAGAGATACATTGTTACTTGGCTCCAAACTTGTATATATATAACAAGTAATTATTTCAATACTCAATTTTATTTATGTACATCAAGCAGTGTTTAGAGTGTATTATCAGTTTCTTTAGCGACAATATAAGATCTAAAAGTGGTTGAGGCAGTAAGGAAGAAAAATGACACTTATGAAAGTGTTATCAAAGAGACAAGGATTATATATAAATCATATCTTGAAATGACTAGCTGGGAGGAGCCAATACTGAGCTTGGATTCAATACATAGATTCAGATCTAAGCTTAATCTAGAACAAGTAAAAAAAAGTTGTAGTATGAAATCTAATGATAAACTGCAAAGATAAGAAAAACTTCAGGGAATGAGGACTGTTGATATCAAAGAAATGTCACACCATACACACTAATATTAAACAAGATTCTAAAAATGCACCATGTAGTTGATGTCTACCATGAAAATCCGCTACAGGGTGGGAGTAAAATAAAAGATAATTATCGATTAGAAAAACACGCTCAGGTATGTAATTTCCAAACTTAGAAGTGTTATTTCATTATACAAGAAGTATCTACGACTAATAGAAGCAAAACATGAACTAAAATGTCACTTCAAAAATCAACATGTTCTGCAGTTCATGTTCTCAGTTATGAAATAATCATTTCCTGCAAATAACAAGAAAACAGCTTCTTGAGTTTATCCGATAAGTACCTCAAATTCAGACGTAGAATTCAGTGAGCAAAGAAAATTATAGAGGATTTCACAAATTCCTACCAATATTAGTCTCTTAGTAAGATAGGATCTAGTGGGAAAATAAGAAACATATTAGCTGAAAGCAATTCATGAATTGAAAAATAAGTCAACAAAATAATGCAAGTTAAATGACAATATTTGCAATTATTGGGATTCATCAAGGAAAATCGAACTAGCAAAATAAAGTACTCCCCACTTATCGAAGTTGACAATAATTTGGTTGGACATTTTATTATCTTTCTTGAACAAATACCAAGTATATAGATATTATATTTTTTCTCATCAAAACAACACTACATCTATGTAAATTGACATGTCCTAACTCAAGGCAAGAGCTTAAAAGTTGATCACCAATAAAAGCAAAGTAAACAATAAATTTGCCACACAATCTGAACATGTAGGTCAAGAGCAAAAGTTCTGGGGAACTGCACATGGGGAATTCTGGTGCCCCATTCTATAAATATGATTCCTTACCATATGATGTTGCCACATTCAACTATTGCTTCTTATATATGAGAAGTGTAGACAGTAGTGAACAAGCTACTTTCTTCAAGAATGATTTTTTTTGTATTGATTTAAAAACACCTCAATTTGTAATTCATTCTCCATTAATACAATTTAAGAAAATCAACAGAACTTCTAAACATTTATAAAAAAAAAGTATGGAAGAAAATCAACATATCTTATTTTCTTGCCTGAAGCAAAACAATGTAAATGAAACAATGTTGTACACTTACCGTCCCATGACGATTTCACTTGGGATGCGGGTACCATCAGTTGTATTTGACGAAGTTGTGGATACAATGTCATTCCTTGGTATTTCGATCCCCACAGATGAAGATGGTCCCGATATGTTGACTGCAACTGAATCTGGCATAACTGGTGTTGGCAGTTCAGGCAATGGTGGTGCTTGATCACGTGCCAAACTCGACATTAGAGGAGATGCCACTGGATCTGCTGTCCTTTTTCCAGAATATCTACTACATCCACCCCCTAGGTGCCATATCTGCAATTTCAAAGTTAAATGTGGATGAAATAATATCATAATGATTGAATCATGATTGATCTAATTATAACAAGAATAAATAGTTAGTTGATATATCACTTCAAGAACAAGATCCCTCTGAAAATTTAACAAAAAACGTGTTAATCTAGTTAGCAGATAAATTTATAAACACTTCTATAAATAAAATAATCTCATCACTATTCCAAACATAGATCTAGAATCAGTCTGGGAATAGTTGTTCAAACAAAACCACCAGGAGAACTATTAAAATAAAATAAGTATACTGGTAAAAGAGACGAAATATAAAATCAACTTATATACGACATTTTAGTAACTCTAACTCCTATATTTGAAGAGATTGGAGAACTTTGACTCTATTCACTGCCACTTTCATAGTACGCCTCTTCATTCTCATTTTCATCATCTGATTCTGATTCTAATTCATCATGAAATCTGTCTCATCATCTAAATTATCATCCTCGTCTCTTAAGTTTATGAATTCGCCATTTGGTACCGGACAATAGTTTCACTATCAGACACCACATCAAATCTTAAACCATCTTCATCACATTGGAAAGGCTCTGCAACATCTACTAAAGGGGACACTAAAGATGATGGAGGCATATCCACAATACCCCGAGCTTTTGTTTTGCACACAGCCCACTAATCACTCTTATCACGTCGTAAGCTAGGATAAGTAGCATAATACACTTGAGCCGCTTGCATTGCCAAAACAAATGGTTCGTACTTCTTCAATTTTCTTCTATGATTGATATCCACATAAGCGTCAATTTCTGCAGATCCGACTGGAAAAAATGTTCTCCATGATAGTTGAACATATATTTGAGGCAACTTTGTCAGGGTTACTCTTTATTTATGAAGGTAAAGTATACTTCCTATATGTTTTTAGTTTGCAATTTCTGGGAAGTTGTCTAGCCAGACTTGAATCATTTTTAGCATGCAAAACGGTATCTATATAAATGTTTCTTTTGAATTCAATTGGGAGGTTATCCTGGAGAAGCTCCAATTTAATGCACACAACTTTATCAATAGGGTCCTACACAGAGAAGGAAAACATCTTTCTACCAAGTGATGATAAGAGAAACATCAAAAGGTCAAGCCTCTATCCAAAAGTGAGGTTTAGATGGAACTATTTTTGTGTTGTCTAATTGTAGGACCTACAGTTGAGCTTTGACAGGACTTTTAAATTGACACAATTGATATATAGTGTAACTTATATTATCTTTTTATACATTTCTAACTATTTTTGTGTTGTCTAATTGTAGGAAGCATCTTCTTTAGTTTTGTGACTTTTGATACTGAAAATAAAGAAACTTTCTGGGGTTGCCAATTGGTACAACAACTTTGTTCAGTAGGGAGCCCTATTATAGGGAAATAAAGACTCAAATATGATACACAAGTTATTCAACTTTTTTGCCCCTCATAGTTTCAGTTTTACAGGTAATCTGCCACTTTCTATTAAGTTTTTTTGTGCCATCAGGAAGAGTTGATCGTCAGAAGAAAAGCTAGCAGCTTGTACTAGGGTGTTTTATGAGGTGCTCGAGTAATCCACCCCATCTTTCTATTCAAACTATTGTCTATCATCAAGTAAATAGATTTTATATAACTTGTTTTGTTTGAAATTAACTAATAACATTATAATTTGTATGTTGTAAAGCTTATATTGTCATATTCTTGTGCTCAATTAACTTAAATGTTTTAACTTTTTCATTGCCAGTTAGAATTTGGCGACGGTATAGAAAAACTTCTTAAAATGCGACAAAGTTGTTTGGTGCTGGACTGGTACTCAGAGGGAGCAGATAACACTATGAATTAACTTGATATTTTGTGCTATAGTTTGGTGGTCCTTGTGAATATTCCCTTGATAATTTATGTACTAAATTTTTGTTCTTTTGTAGTGGGTAGAACTAACTTTGCACCTTGTACAGTTCTTTTGATTTAGAAATTTATAGTAGCCATGACAATGAATAATTCCTACTCCTATACATTTATGTCGATGTAAAAGAAAGCTCATATTTTTCATATGAAAGGTATTCTTTGGTGTAAATTTAAGTATTTGCTCAGCATACTTTTGCATTAATCTATATCTATAGTTGCAATATATTGATAATGTTGTTTATAATTATGTATCTTCATGCATCCATCACATAAAAATATAAGATGTTGGGCACGGGCCATGCCCTTCTAGTATATATATATGTGATAGTGACGTTTATGTTATTGCTGTGCTAGTACTGCTAATAAGTTGTCATCCAATAATTAAGTTATGCTTAGTGGGTTTTTAAAAATAAAATAAAAATAAAAAATATATATATTCATGGAAGCATGAAAATATAATTAAACGCTTTGATGTAAAAACATTGGCTTCTATATTTTATATTATATAGATGAACTATCATATCATCATATCATATCATATATTACTATAAGTGGGAACAAAAAAAGTTAAAAGTTGAATTACGGTTTACCCCTAGTATAAATTAAAATGTTATAAAAATATTTAACTATTTAATTTAAATATTAAATTGTATCTATTTTTAATAAAAATGTTAATGACTTTTGCACTTCCTTAGATTAATCCTAATTAAATAACTAATTTAATAATATTTATCATCTATAATCTATATGTATATTAAATTTAATCATCATATCATATATCATATTATATATTATATTATTATTATATTAAAAGTGGAAAGCACCAAAATGCAAAGTTGGATTACCATTTTATCCCTACACTAAATTATTTTTTATATAAACTAATTAATTAAATATAATATATTTCTAAAAAAAATTAAATGACCATTTTTCATTTACTAAATTAACATTGCTCTTCTAATAACTTGTGCTTAGAAACTAAATTATTACGCAATCATTAATGTTTCAATGCACAAAAAACATTAACAGATCTTTTTTAGGAATTTCAAAGGATATTTTGAAATTTACAAGCAATTTAATATGGTTCATGTATTAGAAAAAAGTCACGTTATTACTGGATGAATACCCCTTCTATCTCTTCTGTAAATATTTTACTTTCCGGGGCTAGTTCTATTCCTGACATTTTCCAATATAATACTAATGATTTATCTATATTTCTGTCATTTATTGCTACGGAGTAGTTAGCACTTATTATAAATTTAAATTTTTGGTATATGAGGTTACAAAAACTGATAACGACAAATTAGATCAATTAATAGATAATATATCTAAAATAGAATATAAATATATTCAATACTTAAAGAAACAATGAATAACGAGAATGAAGAATATAGACAAAAACTTAACGAAATAATTATAGCAAAAAGACAAGAATTGAGACATAGGCAAAATAGACTTAATAGTAATATATTTGCAGGAATTTGTAAAAAATCTATAACAGCACAGA